CGGAGCCCCCTGCGCCCGCCGCCTTCCCCGGGGGTGTGTGTGGGGGGAGCAGGGCGGGTGTTCCCCCCCGGGAAGGGGAAGGGGGGCAGGAATGAAGCGGGTCCCTGCAAGAAAAAAACAATCCGCCTCATCCAGGACGGTGGAATGTATTTTCTCGACTCGTGTCCCGCCTGCCCCCGAGCCCCCTGCACCCAAAAAAAGTCCCTTGTCCCCAAGATGTTGCAGGAGTGATGACTCCGGGCTGGTGTCCGGGGCAGAAGAGGCACCTCAGCAGCATTGATGTTTCAGGGTTGTTTCAGGATTAATAAGGTTTTCTTTATTGCCAGGGTTACAGGAATTGAACTCTCTCCGCAATTTGTTTTAATGATAACTAAATAACACGGCATTAGGGAGCACCAAAGGAATCTTACGGGGAAGGAAGAGGAAAGGAAGATGCTGAAGTTGGGTCATTCCCAAGACTTTGGGTCTGCGGGGTCCATGGACTCATCGGGAGAAAGGGCCGCGGTGCGGACGCTGCGTGCCGGCAGAGCTCCTGCGCACAGTCCTGAATCCTCTAATTTGTCCGATGGGGAGGAAGGCTGAAAAGATTTCTAAAACCATTCGCTTTTTCCTCTGGAGGGAGATAAGAGTAAATATGAATCATTCGTTTAAAAGTTGGAGAAGTGTTTAGTTCCAAGAAGAAATATGTTTTTTTGTTGTTTTTTTTTTTACAGTAAGAAGCTCGTGGTAAACTTCAGGAGGTTTTTATAAGTGCTTGTAACCTCTTTGAAGCTGGAGACTTTTTTTTTTATATATATGTATAGCAATTGCATAATGAGGTCTTAACTGTGAATGGGATTCCTAGGTGGAGTTGCAATAAACTGATTTATGGTACCATTCATGGTATCATACCTCATTCATATGTTTACTATAAGTACAGAGGAATACACGGACCGGAATATAATGGTTGCGACTTTAAAAATGTTACTCCTGGGAGAAAGTTACAGCCAATGCGTGCACCAACAGGCAACGCGATTGGGAAAGCTGCAAAAAATGCTCAAGAAAATAATTTTTGGAGCAAATAGCAGCGAAAAGCAGCCCTCAAAGAGGTAGTGCTGGGCAGGTCTGTGGCATGGAAAAAGTAAGGTGGGTCCTGTCACCCAGCTAGTCAAACCACGGATGGGAAATAAGGAGATGTGTATGTCAAAGGGATGGATTGGGAATGATCCCTGTTTGTTTAGAAACAGGCATTCACAAGTAGGATTTGGGTTTCTTAATCTGGAAGCAGCTTGTGGGACAAATCACTGAGAATCAGAGAATGGTTTAGGTTGGAAGGGATCTTAAAGATCATCGAGTTCCAACCCCCCTGCCATGGGCAGGGACACCTCCCACTAGACCAGGTTGCTCAAAGTCCCATCTAACCTGGCCTTGAAGGCCACACGGGGTGCGAAAGGGAATGCAAAACAGTGGTCGAAGGAGAAGTAAATGTCCCAGCCGTGGGCTGCAGCGGCTCGGGGTCATTCGGAGCCTCAGGAGAAGAGACAAATAATGGGTCACTATTTCCTATAAGAAAAATTCATTGCTTTTCATTCGAAAGCAAACAACAGGTCAATATTTCCACTTATTTCATTTGAGGGACAAGTTCTTAAACAGCTACCAAGTTGAAGTGTGGAGAAATGTGTGGGGTGATAAAACATCACCCAGTGTTTCACTCTGCTGACATCCCCATGATTAGCTAAACCAAGACATTGAGTCCATACCAAGAAAATACCAGCCCTCGGGAGCAGGCTGCGTGGCTAACGGAGCAGGCGGTGTGGCTAACGGTGCGATCTCTCGGGCTAGGTCCCTGCCCTGGCTCAAACCCTCCCTTGGCCAGCGCTGCTCCTATTTTTAATCGCCGCGCTATGAAAAGCCCCGTTTCGTGGTACCTGAGTTCGCGCTTTACAGGCAGGGACCTGGCAGCACGTTTGTCACGCGGCTGTCGTCGCTTTTGAGGAAACGGGTCAGGATGGGCGCTCGGGATGTTGTCCAGAAGCCACCCAATATAAAGGGCGGAGCGTGGTCTTCTGCACGTGGGCAGCGCGCTGCTGCACGACGCAGGCGATGCCTCAGAGAGCGAACCGACAGAGAACCGGACCCCCAGGGGGAGTGATTTTTGCCCAGGGGATAAACGATGCCCTGAATATTCATTTATTAAATTGCAGTCCGTCTTGCTTACATTGTTTCACAGGGAGATGTTTACCCTCCTGGAAAGCTAAAATGTTTTCTCTGCTTGCAACATAAAAGCCCGGGAGTGAGTATTGTCACTGCAGATAATGTTACAGCCTTCGCAAGGTGACACTTGAAAACTTCGTCAGCCTCCAAGAATTTTGGAAATCGCCATGAACGAAGGCAGCAAGTGTTACGAGCCGGCAGCACTTGCAAGAAGTCCCCTCACAAACGGTGTTTTCAAGAGCCTTTTTCTGTTTCTAGTTATCATTAGAGCCGCACAGCTCAGACCGTTTTAAAATAATTATACTGCACAGTTAAGAAACCCTCCCGCGCTAAAATAAATTCTAGCTGGGATGGTTTTATGCTTCGCAGCCTCATATGACACTCAATCTTTCTCGTGTGACTGTTGTAACAAGTCAAATTCATGTATTTTGATACCCCGCACGTGATAAAGATACTTGGATCGCTTAAGCCTGTACAAAACTGCAGTGCTCGCATGTCATTTATCTTAAAATCCTATTGTAGCTCTCGTGAAATGTAATTTCTTGAGTGAATGGAAATTTATACTGACAGAGGTGTTATAAAACATGGAAAATACTGGGGGAAGGGGACCCAACATTTCCTTTATCTCTTCAAGTACTCACTAACGGGGATTTATTTTTCAGCTCGGCGATGGTTCGTTGCAGGTTACAGAGCTGTGGCGCAGTTAAAGGGACCCGTTTCCAGTCTCCTTAAGCAAAACTTGCGTTAACTCACAACAGGTGAGAAACGTGTGCTGCGGCCCCGAGACAGCAAACTGGTTCCCAGGCCTCAGTTCCCGTATCGGTTCCTAAAGCCGCTCGTAGGAAACCGCTCAGCCTCAAGAAACTCCTGGGATCCCAGCCTCTACCTTCCCGCTTCCAAACGCATGGGTAAGGAAAAACAATTTGTATTCATAACCTTGAGTAAATAAATTGTCACTTTAGTTACACATTTTATTGTAATTAAGTGCTTCCCAGTAATAACCAGCCCACACTATGAAGCGGTTTCTTAATATAACAGTAAGCGGAGTTCTCGCTTCTGAGCGGAATTAGGCAGCTTTTAAAAGCGCAGAGCAATTAATACAGCAGGGCGGTGTTGCACGGTTCTCAACATGGTGGTTTTGCTAAAGAACTTTATCCTTATTCTCAAGAAATCCCACTGCTGTGTAGTCGGTATCTCACCTGCAGAATTTCCCAGTAGGATTTATACCCGGTATTAGCCTGACTCTGCTCCCGGTGGCTTTCCCTGACTCCAAAGAGGACGGAGATTTAAACCTTCCCTGGCTTTCTAAGGACTTGCTGCTGTCACCTCTTCATAATGCGGCTACAATTAACTTTGCTGGAATTTCTATATTTAAAGCAGCTTTAAATTAGAGCCTGAACTTCCAGACATGGACGCGGATGGTCTTTGCTGCTGTCTGTACGCGCCTTTGGGTTTTGCGCTAAAAAAGCCCACCCCGCGTTGACAAATTTGCCCTTTGCGGTCTGGCTTCGGTGTGGCCGGTAAAAATAGCGGGTGATATGGCAGACAGAACGGGCCCTAAACTGTACAAAGGTATTTTTTTTGGTAGCTTTTCTTAGCTCCAGACTAAAGAGTGAAGCATCAGATG